CAACTTCTAGATTCTACATTATACTAGCCAATTTTAAAAATGGAGGATGACATCACACAGGGAAGTAGCTAAATGTGGAGTAATTAGCCATTGAAGTTTTCACAGAAATGCTCATTAAATTCTTTTGGTGAAGACTCACTCTACTTGTCTAATGTCCATCAGTTCTCCAAGGCAACCAGTGTTGCTTCTGCCCACAAATTTGATTTTGACCAGATTGGAAAAAAATCCTAAAATTCAGTTCCACCTATGAAAGCCAGGCACTGAGTTCCTACCATTCATTCTAGAGCTTTTTTATTTTGTAAAGGAAAGTTTGAGTTTGAGACTGACTGGTAATATTCTAGAGTGTTCAGACTGAATTGTATAACTTTTTTTCAGACTAATGAATGCATTTGGCTTTGAGTGATAAGCACACTTCAGAATATGGGCAGGGCCAAGATAAAATTTAAATCTGATTGAATTCTATAAGCATTAATGAAATGTAGTTCATATGACTATTCTAAGTCATATTTAATCATTTTCTCCTTCTGAAGGGACTAAGCTCAAGGATTTTAGGGGCACCATACTGTGGCCTTGGATTGTGCACTCTTGTCTTAAAAGAAATTGAGGAACAATCAAGGTTGTCCATACATCAAAAACATCAAGATAGTGCCCACCCCTATATGACTGAAGCCCCACCCCTTTTTATATGGATCACATGTGTAAAAGGGGCAAGGGTTCGATCACATAGGTGTGGGCACCATCTCGACTTGTTTAAGCCATCCCTCTGCAGACACAATTCCCTGGACACAATTCTCCCCAATGGAAGCATTTACCACTGCCAAAAAACAACAGCCTATTGTCCAACTTCTCTTGGCCAGTTTTCATGGATGGACAAGAGTCCAGAAGCCCAGGAGGTGGTCTCTCTTCCAAGCAGCCTTTGCACACATTGTGGATGAACCAAATGATACACCTTCATTAGTACTGAACAAGCAGCTTCTCGATTACTACTCCAGAACTTGTTTTTCAATGTGAAGTCCAAGCTGGAATAGAGTCAGGCATTTTTATCAGCTTCGCAATTTGAAAACTTATCACAGTGAACTCACCTTCACTATTCCAGGGCCCAGGAAGCAACAAACTTATATGATCTCTGTATCAGCAAATTAGTATTCTTGGTTGTTCTTGCTAACATTGTAACGTTGTGGATTGTTGTTTCTAATCTAGATCTGGAACTCCATTTGTCCCTGAGTGCCTTTCACGGGGCTGGGGCAGCTTGAATTTCCAAGAAGCTCTCAGATATAGATCATGCAGTTCAGATGAATACAGAACAGGTGAAACCAAAGTCCTACTCCCAGGAGAGAATACTTTAATGTGCTTACAGGACACATCAGGAAACTATTTGTGTCAAGCATTTTCCAAGAATGTTTCAAGAAAACTCACAAACTGCTCTGAGATGATACCAAATCAAGCCAAGTAGCATTCATCCATCACCTGAGGAGTAGATGGATTAATCAAGATTTCATCAGAACCATTACTAAACCTTAGGATTTGTTTCAAAACCCAATGCACAGGCTGGGATTTGAAACAGCAGCAGCAGCAGCAGCAGCAGCAACACCGTAGCAGCCATATAAACACCTCTGAGCACAGACCTATCCGGGATTCTCTTCAGGTCTGGGATTCATAAGATGTCTAAGTAATCTTGAATCCAGACATAGGTTTATTATATTATTTAAGCTTGCAAGCCGATCAACCGAAGGACTCAAAGTTTGATCAATGCAAAGATATACGGCTGGGAGGATGAAGTTCATCAGGACTGAGCAAACATCTTTTGGAGTTCATTTAAACAACTAAGACAATTATAATCTCTTCCTATCCCATTGTTGATTTTGGCCTTGAGTCAGTGATGTGAGTAATAACAGGTATGCTTTGAGCAGCTGTCTTAGCATGATCTCCGTACTACCTGCCTTATACGTGCAGGATTATTTAATGCTCTGCAGCAAAGACCATCAGACAGCTGCCTGTTTCAGATGAGAGTGATTACATCTTTATTTAGAACAATGTGTCTGATAGCACAGAGGCTGGGAACCATACCTGTATTTTGGATGCTTGTTTTGCTGTTGCAAAGAGATGATTATACTTAAAATGAATGTTGGAGATGGGCAGTCTGATATTTTCAAAATATACCAGCTTGCCAATGCATGCAACAGTTTATTTCATTCTGATTCTTCCTCTTCTGCCCTTGGGACAAGACCTTATCACAGCTATAGTCTGCATTGCACCTAGTACTATGTACCTTAAAACAATCAAAGATATTGCACAGAAGTCTTCATGTGTCAGAATCAGGTTGAAAACTTTCTTTAGGTTTTCTGTTCCTGTTCCTTCAATAACTATCATGCAGAAATGGTAGGAAGTCAAGTGTTTTCTAGAAAAGTATTTCTATACCAAGAATACTTTGCTAAATTTCTGTATGGTAGGCTATTGTTAGAGATTCAAAAGTAGGACTACAAATTCTGTATCGTGTTTTGATTTGGGAAAGAATTTTAAAACAATTGGAGATAACTCCTGCCTAGTCTTTTTGCCCATTTTATTGCCGGCTGTTGTATTTTTCTGCATCATTCTACCACACCGCTTGCCTTATGTTCTGTGGATCAATTTGCATCTCACTAGGTGACATTAGATTCAATAACAACCTGCAAGGTTAAGACTGGAAAGATACATTGTCTTTGGAGGAAGAATGAGATTGATGGTGGTTAATGAGACTGATGATGGTGACAGTGGCAGGAGTGGCAGTAGAGGAGGACACTTCAAAGTTCATCTAGTTCAATCCATATGGAAGATTCATTATTGCAGTAACCTCGAGAGGTGGTCATCCAGACTCGGCATAAGCCCCTACAATGAAGAGCAGTCCACCACCTTCCATGGCAGCTTGTAAAGCTGACAACCAGCATTCACCATTAGGAAAATCCCTTTGTTTGTCATCTGAACCCAGCAAAATCCTTTTGCTTGTAATTTGGGCCAGTGAACACATTTGGAATTCTGAGGGCATGTCATGGGCCCATTCACAAAATGGCTGGATATGGCCGATCACAAAAAAACAAAAACCCACCACACTTATCAGCATGCAGATGGGTTAGGTTGTTCGTACCATTTCTTCTATTCTCCTCTTCCATTCTACCATGCTCCATACCATCTCCCAATGTTGTTGTTGTGTCTTTTTTCTGGGCAGGAAGACTACAAATCCTCATAGCAGTGGCACTGTTTTACAGCTTGCTAATGAGAATCCCACTGGGAATTTTGTTTAAGGTCCAGCTTAAAATAAGATACACTACATCCATAGCATTCCTCTGATCTACCAAGTTTTTATTTAACTCTTAAAAAGAAATGGCATTTCTCTAGTCTCACTAAAAATTCTCTATAGTCACAGCGTTCTTTCCTTGATGCTCACAGACTGTACTGATTTGTACTAGAACTTTCAAGCTGACTGCTCATTAGCAGTCTAGACTTCTCTTTCTGAAGATGGATTTATCACCCGGTGCTTCACCAGTTCTCCAAGAATTCTGAAAAAAATATGATAAAGGTTTTAATGTTACATGTGCACACTCCTTGACTGCTTGGGACAAAGTTTGTTTAACCCTGGAGATTTAAACCTGTCCAGAAAAAAAGATACATTTTTGCTTTGGCGCCACCCTGAATTAGATGATCCGCTGGCCTCTTCCAGCAGTCCAGCTATAGCAGTGTTGTCCAAACTTGGCCACTTTAAGATGAGTGGACTTCAACTCCCAGAA